GTTCTTGATATCTATTATTCTGTGTCAGTAGTTTTAAGGGATTCTATGTACTTAGCAAACCTGGCTGTCAACAAGTTGTCCCTTTTCAATTGTTTTGACAGTCTGTTGATGCTTGTCCAGAATTAATCCATAGTTTTTATATTTGTGTTTATTTCCCATCTCTGTGTTGCCTCCACTTGATTTTTTATCAGGTTTATGTTTTTCCTGACGTTTTTATAATTTAGAAATATTGAGATGTGACCACTGACAAGTTGCTAGGACATTAGTTCTGTGTCTTGATGTAACACAAGTTATTACAGCATTGGCTTCTCCTATGAGATAAAGGTAGCCAAGTACTGATAATACATTCTTTATATTGTGAGAAATAATTGCCAAAAATTCTTGCAATGAAATAGCTAAATGTGCATCTAAGTGTGCATCATATGGTCACTCTGAATATTCAGTTCTTGTTTTCAGTTAATTGTTTTTGCTGACAATATAGATTTTATTTATTAATCTTTTAACAATACTTTACACTACCCTTCAGCCACCAAGAGTTCCAGAACTTTAATACCAGAAAAATAACTCATTAAAATTAAAAAAAAAATCAGAGTTCTTAAATATAGAAGAACTTTATTTAAAGAATAATTGCTTTAAAAAGAAGTGGTGCTAATGATGGTCACTTGCATTGCTTGCTGCTGCTTCCTTTTCTCCTTTAGGATGATTGGTTTCAGTGGGGTTTCATGAGGGTGGGAGAGGCTTAGTCCAAGCTGATGAAGCAGCAGCAGGAGGAGATAGGAATGAAAACAATTTAGTTAAGTAATGAATGGATGTATTTCCTTAATATATGCGTGTGTTTCTGCATTACTGATACTCATACAGCAGCATCTGCAGGGGCAAGGAGGGCAGAATGATGAAAACAGCGTCGTGATGTAACCTAGCCCTTTTGTGTGTGTCTTGTGACGTTGCATGCATATACAAAAGGGGCCAGGTTTGCAGCACAACACTGTAATGTATTTTTAAAGTTAATAGCTCTTTGTTATTATAGGCTTCTACTTTTAGTGTTCATTTTAATATGATTAGTGGCAGCTTTACAGTTTGATAATCATGCGTATGTGAATATTTGTACATTTTATGGAACACACTTATTCAGAAGAATTGCATTTCGGTGCTAACCAGTTTCAGAGACGTTAATTTGAATGCAGCATATCAAATTATTTTGCTGATATTGTTTTTGTTTGCTTCTAATTCCTAGCATCAAGCTCTTATGGAAGAACTGAACCGTAGTAAGAAAGATTTTGAAGAAATAATTAAAGCCAAGGATAGGGAATTGAAAGAAACCAAGGTATGAACAGACCCTAGACAACTGGGAAAAATGGACAGTGCAGACATTCTACAAATCCTCTTTTTTAAATGGTTACATAGTTTCTTAAGGAAGCCCCTTTCTGCATACAGTGCAAACTGCCTTCATTTTTTCTTTTTTACTTTTAATATATGGTTAAGTGGATGAAAAAGCAATATTTTAACTATTTAACAACATAGGCAAAATTTGTATTTCTGAGTACAGGATAAAATGTCAATTTTTACCTTATGAAATATGTTTTCCATTTTTTAGTTTCAACACTTGCATACCTAGTGTTTTTGTGTTCTGTCTTGGCTATAGGAGGAAAAGGAGAAAGCAAGAGCACAAAAAGAGGAGGCATTGAGCCAGATGAATGATGTATTAGAGAACGAGCTGCAATGTACAATTTGCTCTGAACACTTTATTGAGGTAAAATAAATATTATTAAAGCCTGTTTCCATGGCCTCCCTGCGATCACGTGCACTCTGTGCCCTCTTTCCTTGGCCTCCCTATGCTCGCACACATGCATCCCCGCCCCTTCTTTCCACAGCAATGATAATTGCTTCTATCTTGTTGGTTATATACTGTTTTAATGGTTATATATTGTTTAATGTTTGTGAGAGGGGTGGCCATTTATTATTCGATTTATATAGCTGCTCATCACACTTTTATGTGACTCTAGGTAGCTTACAATAAAACAGATAAAAGACACAAAAATACAATATAAAAACAAAAATAATACAAAAACCCATAGCCAGGCATAATCTAACCTGTCATCCACATAACCAGGAAATGGGTTCTAACCCATACCCAGGGTCTCAGGTTTGGGCACAAAGCCAAGTTTTCAAGGCCTTACGAAAGGCCAACAGGGACAGGGCTAATCTAATTTCAGGGGGGATGATGTTCCAAAGGGCAAGTGCCACAGCAGAAAAGGGTCTCCTTCTGGGCCCCGCCAGCCAACACTCTCTAGCCGACGGTACCCGGAGCATGCCCTTCCTGCCAGATCAGGTAGGACAGGTAGAAACAATTGGGAAGAGGGAAGAGACGATTCCATAAGTAACCTGGTCCTAAGCCATGAAGGGCTTTAAAGGTGAGAATCAGCACCTTGAATTGAACCTGGAAACACACCAAAAGTCAGTGCAGCTCGTAGAGTAGTGGTGTCACATGTGCCGAGTAACTGGCACCAGTAACTGCCCATGCTGCTGCATTTTGCACCAGTTGAAGCTTCTGTATACTCTTCAAGGGCAGCCCCATGTAAAATGCATTGCAGTAGCCCTGGAGGTCACAAGGGCCTGAGTGACTGTGAGTAGGGACCCCCAGTCAGGAACAGATGCAATTGACATACACAGCCCTAAGCTGTGCAAAAGTCCTCCTAGCCATGGCTGCCACCTGCTTTTCGAGCAAGAGCCATGAGTCCAGGAGGACCCTCAGATTGCGCACTGGGTCTGTCTGGGCAGTGCCACCCCATCCAAAGCCAAAGACAGAAGATCCCTGGAATCAGGAGGTCCAAAAACTCAGAGCCACTTGGTCTTGCTTGGGTTGAGATAGAGCCTGTTGTGCCCCATCCAGGCCCATAACACCTCCAGAACCTCTCAGAATATAAATTAACTAAAACAAACAAAATCAATTTAATGCTATCTGATACTGTTGTTATATTTTTATATTTTTTATTTGAAGTTGTTTCTTCTTCCTTGGAATTTCTGTGAATAATGCAAAATATAAATCTTAATATAACTATAGACAGTATAAGAAATTTGGCAAAATCTGTTATACTGCACAGTGGAAATGTTCAGAATAACCTTGGAGTGTGCTGGGTTTATATTTAACTATTCTCTTTTATAAGATTAATTCTTCCCCCAAATAAAATTTGTGATGAGCAAGAGAGGACCTTCTGTAAAGTGGCACTTGACTTGCATTCTTGTTTTATAGGCTGTTACTCTAAATTGTGCACATAGCTTCTGCTCATATTGCATTGATGAATGGATGAAACGTAAGGTGGAGTGTCCAATATGTAGAGGGACAATATTATCCAAGACACGGTCATTGGTTCTGGACAACTGCATTGACAGGATGGTAGAAAACTTGGATGCTGAGACAAAGCACCGTCGCCTGTCCCTCATCCAGGAACGAAAAGGTGAGAGGTGGGTCCTCCATTCCTAGGAGTTTGAGCTTTTTTGTCAGCTGCTTATTTTAGGGAGTAATTTAGAAATGTATCAATAACGAGGTAAATGTACTTCTAATACTTGATTATTTCTGTGCATGATGAACTCTGTTTGCATTTCTACTATATTTTCAGGATTGAATTATGCTCAGATTTGAAAAGAGAACCACACAACAAGTTTGCCAGATATTTTACAACTTGTACAGTTGCATAGCTTTCCAGAAATATTAAAAAAAGTATGAGAGGGATTAGCCCCCAGATGGGCGGTGTCTAAATTCGAAAAATAAATAAATAAAAATTATTTATGTATTATATTTGTATCTCATTTTCTTCCATTATGGAAATAGAACATATGGTCTTCCATTATAAGTACTGACCAGATACAGACCTGCTTTGCTTCAGTAAGGTTTCTGCTTGGGCTTCAAAGTAAATGAGGTCCTCAGGATCAGCTGATTTAAGTATAATGTTGCAGGTAAAGAAGGGGTGTCTATTGAGGAATCTAGATCCCAGCTAAGATTTAGTGGTCTCTTTATATTGCTCCCCTTTTCTTTCGATATACAGTGATGAGATAGGGGGAGGCACCTTTTTGTAATAATTGATCTCTCCCCACTTCTTAATACTGTCCTTGGAACAGTTGTGCCATTAAGTAGGATACATTTATGAAGGAGGCTCTTTCTTACATTCATGGAAATTCATTCCAAAATGTTCTAAGCAGTGAGCCTAACAATAATTACTCTTGAAATATGAAGAATTGCTTCCTTAGGTAGAACAGTATGCAGATTCTGTGTTCAGAATAAATTAAACAGATCAGTGTAGGGCAGTGAACCCCAGCCTAGTGTTTAAGGACCATTCACTGTCTGTGAGATTACTGAAGACAGTCCCTGATGTACGTGCTAGAATAAATAGTACATTGCTTGAAATATTTAAAGTCTTAGGGAATCCCCAAATTTGACAAGAGTTGACTCTTGTGAAACAAAGATAGTTCTCATAATTTTCTTGCCTTGTGTTACAGCAGAGTTTTTGAAATTTGTTCTAATTGTCCTTGTGCATTTTTTAAAAATTTTTTCTCTCTTCCAAAAATTCTTGATCAGATATTACCAGTTTAGCCCAGTGCAGCAAAACCAGCAAAAATGTTGTGGAACCTTAAATACTGACACATTTATTATGGTGTAAACTTTTATCAGCTATAGGTAATAAAATATTAACACTAGAGTAAACCTATATGTATCTGCATAGAAGCATGATAGTTGTGTGTATCTGAATACGTTTATCATGAGATTTATAGATTTCTACTCTGTATGTCTATATCTGGCTTGAGATTATGGTAGAGGTAGGGCCCATCTCATCTTCCACATCTATCTGTCTGTGACTAAAGCTATCTATGAAAGTTCTCCAGTTGGTATCGCCACAAGATTGATTTAAGACAGCAGAGGGTGAAATGACCTTGTGCACACCTTCACAAGACATTTTTTGTACTGTAATCTTGTGACAGAGATTTGAAATAAATGTATTTAAATTATAGATAACTTTGTATGTTAAGCTATCTGTGTATCAGCCTAAATCATACAAACACTGTATAAACTAATCACTGTATTTTTGTGTGTTTAATTGCAGGAAAGCAGGTTGTTCCGCCAAGCCCAGCATCAGACAGTGAGAACAGTGAGAGCAGTAGTCTTACCTCTTCTTCAGACAGTGAGAGCAGTAGTCTTACCTCAACATTAGATAGTGAGAGCAGTAGTCTTCCATCTATGCATTCCCTTAGTAGCACTTTCACAAGCAGCTCTGAAAGTGATGATTATGAGGGTGACTCTGATAGTCCCCATACAATATGAAACATCTGCTCTGCATTTGTGCAGCTTTTTGGAGTCTCCTCAGGGTGGTATCTGTGGGAAAAAGGGGGTATTTGGAACAATGAAGATGTGGAACTTTAAATTGTGGATTAAAGGGGCTTTGCAGGATCCTATTCTTTTCTTCATTGCATATATGGTATCTTTATCTCCAGAATTCCAAATTTACAATTGTATGACTCACTCATTTATCACACTGGACTCATGGTGATTAAACCTTGTTTGTTCTTGCTATGAAAACTAGGGCTATGCAAACCTATTTGAAAGAGATGCTTCACAACATAAAGGAATCTGTATGAAGCACTTCTGTTTGAATTAATGAAGCTGCTACATATTTTTTCCAAATTCATGCAGCTGTTTCATCTGTTTGATCTGTTTCTACGTGTTTCTTTTCTCCACTCAAGTGAAAATAGCAAGAGCAGCTTCCAGAGCAGAAACATGAACCTAGAAAAACACAGCTGTTTGTTGGTTTGAAGATAAGTGCTTCATACATGCTTCTGTATGTTATGAAGCAGGTTTTCCAAGGGTTTACATAGTTTGAACAAAAATTGTGGGTGAGAATGCACAAGCTTGAATATCACAAGTCTGAATTTTCTCTCAGTAACTTTAACGATGACAGTTGGTCAACTGAGATGTATACTATGATATATTATTTGTGACAGGAATTTATACATATCTGATGGGTTCATAAGGAGAATAAGAATGGTAGCCTCAGTTACAACTTTAAAATAGGTTGAAGATAATTATTAAAGTTAACAGGATCTGTACTATGTTTCCTATAAAAGGATCTAAAACAGTTTCCTCAATTTCTGTTGCCAGAATAGAACAAAATTAATCAAAGCCATAACAGGTCTTTGTGGGAGGGGGAGTAACTACTCTAGCTGCTGAACAAACTAAAGTGAAGAAAACCACCTGGAAAAGCAGAGTGAAGAAGGTGCATCTCTGAGCAAATGGAAGATGACACACACACACCAGTATTTCACCTCTTACTGGTGTAAGTATACAACATCCAAGTTCCAGTTCATGAGGCTTTGCATTCAAACTATCAAGCAATTGATTAGGCCTTTTGTTTTTCTTGGTATTACTTGAAGAGGTTGATTTATTTATTTATTGACAAGGTGCAAGATATAAAAAGAAATAACCTTTTATTTCTCTGTTTATGCATTTTTGTACAGTCAGTTCAGTCTACCTGTTTTGGATTTAACAGGAAATATTAATTTCACACACTAATAACTGGACTTTGCAAAAGTAAATGTTAAGTATCATTACAAGTAATTGTAAGCAGCCTTATTAGTTGTTATCAATACATTACTGGAGCAGGATTCATATATCACAGGATTCTATTCAGACTACTCAGCCCAGAAGTTACTGGTGGTATAGTTATAGCCATGTGAAAAAGTAAGTGCACCCCATTGAAATTTTTTACTTTTTCAACATATTTCAACATATAGATCTTCATTTTAACCATATTGATAAAGTAAGCATACCCCTACATTTATCACTACCTCAAATACCTAAAATTAGAATCAGGTGCACCAGCTCAGGTGCAAATGATTAGAACATCGTTAGAGAAGATCTGGGAGGAACCTGTCTTATTTAAACCTCAGACATTTAGTTTGATTTGTTTTTTGTTGCTGAAGTGTGTGGTACCACATTGTCAGGCCTAGCCCAAGGAACTCCTGGAGACCGTGCAGGTTCAGTCAGCAAGCTTTATTAGCTAGCGCTTGTTTACAGAATCTTCTCAGACTGACCAGTAGTTCCCAGGCACAA